GCCGAGCACGGCTGGGGCGAGCGGAAACGCGGCCCAAGGGCCGCAGGGAAACAGCCGGGGCTGGCGGCCGTCCGCTAGCAAACAGGCTGCAGCACGGGGGGAACTGCAGCTGCTCCGAGGGGTTGGGCAGTGTGCGAAGTTGCCCCGTGAGGCAAAATGCCGCAGGAAGGGGGAGTTTTGCTGCCCCGTGTCAGACAGCCCGGAGATTTACACCTGGCCCTGTACTTCTGCTGCTTCAAGAGTCTCCAGGGTGGATGCTCGAAGCATCGCTGCCACATCCACCTCCCCTGCAGCCAAGGCAAGAGAAGCACGGCCATATTAAGTGTAAGGCACAAGACAGAGTACCAAACTATATTTACTGTATACAATAGTAAAGGACAACAAATAAATGTACAAATCAGTGAATTCTATGGGATGTCACACCCCAGCCCATATACAAGAAAATGAAAAAGAAAACAAAAACAAGGGCCTTTCCAGCAAGATTTCCAGCAAGCAGGAGATGATCTAATGTGGCCAAATGGGTCAGGTAAATATAAAAGGCAAAAGAACGATCCCATGGAGCAGCAGCGGACAACAGGATGGCCGTTGTAAAAATCCATCCGGAACAGACTCCACATTTTGTGTGGAGCTCAAACCCATCACTCAAATGCATTTACAATTCATTAAGTTTTGTGAGGCAGTAGAGCACATAATTTTTTCAACACATGTACACGCACACCCATTTCCTTGCTCACCAGGTTTTTGACAGCTCTTCTGCACGTACAGCTTGGTGATGTTAAAAGGCGCTTTTTTTCCCCTCATTTATGAAGTTTATCTACGAAAAGCAAGTATTAAAAAGAAACCTGAGGCCACACACTTTTAGTACCCACTGAGAAATAAGAGGCATACTGAAGGGAGTGGGAGAAAGGTGACAGGTTCTGCCTGGCACTCAGCAGATGGCTGAAGCTGCAGTGACAGGTTTCTCTAAGCCTGCAAAACAAAAAAATACCACCGCTCCATCATGAGCATTAGTTTTTTTGGACCAGCTGCTCTGCTAACTCCAGTTCTGACAATAATTCAGGACCAATCTAATTTCTGCATTAAAAAAGTATATTTCAGACGACTTTATCATAATATGACAAAGCACATGTAAATCTGCAATATTTTAAACTCCAACTCTATACTAAGCATTGTATCTGCACGTACCAGCCTTGTGTCACAGGCTTAACGCTTCTGAAGTAACTGTGTTTCCAACACACACCAAAAACTTGGAATCAGCATCACTTTTCCTTCTCTTAGGCATATCTTAAAAGGAAACTTTTACGTTCACAACTGGCATGAAAATATACTGAATTATTTACATGATCAGAATTAAACAGAGGGGCAAGACCAACAAGAGCCAGGAATGAACATTCCATGTCCTAACACATGGATATTTAGGCCACAGGTTTAAAGAAAAAAAAAGAAAAAATAACAGCAGAGAGACAATGCATATTACTTAATGTGAATTTAAATCAAATTGGCCCAATTTAAGATATAGATTAATCCCTGCAGATACTGTTTTGACTTGCACACGCAGTACGTCAAAGACAACAAGCAATTTTGGTAAATGTCCTCTAAAGTTTAGAAGAATCCCATGTGATTGGCATGTTCATTTGTTTACTATTTAATAGCAAATCCAAGGACAGATGAGAGAGTGAGGTGTGATGAGGATCCTTAAACTCCTCAAAAGGACGGCACGTCTTAACACACTCCACCTGTCTGCTGTTGGAACACGTCGATAGTGTCTTCATCTTCCATCTCCAGCTGTTAGAGGAATATGGAAAATACAAGACTTGAAATATACAACATCATGGTTACAAAAGCACTTAGATCTCTACTCCTAACCAGTACCAATAATAGAGCACTTAAGGTGTAATTTTAATTAATGCATGAAACACTTTCCATCAGTCACTCTGGAGCAGGCACTCCATCACCTCTCTGATCAGAGTATCACCAACACCAAAATGCCCTTCCAAGGCACTCCTGTCAGTCAGGCCAAATTCAGCAGTTTCACGTCTTCCACAACAAATTTCCCCAGCCAAGCGTCTCCTCAGTTCCTCACTTTGGGCCTTGCCAGCCCAAGGAATTCCCCACGCCCTCAGCACTGCCAGCAGCTACAGCTTCAGTGCTGGCTCTGAATAAGCCAGTGCAGAAGTAGGACAGGGGCAAAAATGCCAGCACTTGTCAGGGGTCCCTTCCACACCAGCACTCCAGTGCCAGCTTGTTCAGCACTGATGCTCCTACACATTTTCCCCCACATCCAACAGTGAAAACATTCAAGGGGTGAGGGGGAAAAAAAAAAAATCCCACCCTAGACAAATTATTTGGAATGTACTAAATGTAGAGCAACTGTTTCGGAATCATTTAGATTTCAAATCCCTTTGACCTGCATGCAGACATCAAAATATTTATATAGCAATTTGCAGTAAAAGTATTTTTCATACCTGTGCAGGTGTGTCTGTTTCACTAATCGGTTGTCCATCAAATCTGAACCTAATCTGCCTCATCGACAAGCCCTACAAGTTTAAAGCAATTAATATGAGAAACCATGCTTTTATTTCAGAAACCAAAAAACATAGATTTACTGTCAGAATAAATATTAACAAAATTAAGACTCAAAAGATTTAATCAAGCAGGAACCTTAGCACATCTATCTTGCTATATAAATTGAGGAAGTGGAGCTGTTTGAGCAACGTCCCACTGCCCTGCTGTCACAGCAAGGACTCTATGGAACCACAGCTGTGGGTTTGGCACCTCGTTCTGATCCCACTCTGTGAGGCACAAATATCAAAAGTTAATTTACAAAGGTAATTTAAGCAGAGAGCAATCAATACACCTAAAGCCTCAGAGGACATGTCAGGAAGGAGTAGAAATTGTTTCTCACACAATCAGAGAAGTAACAGTAGATTAAATTGACTCAAAGGAAAACGTCAAAAAAAAAACCCTGAAAAAAACTACTTTTTTGTGTATCTAGCTATCAGCACTAACCACCCATAACTAAGACAAGTTTTCACTCATGCCAGGCATCTGCTCCCAGTTCTAGTTCTTTATCTCCTGATGAAAAAAGGAACCACGAAGAAAAAAAGAACTTGCAGGACTTAATGTAGATTTTTACTTGCAAGGTTTATTAGAAAAGTGTTAGGGTCTAACATTAGCAAGTTAAAGTTGCCCTTGAAATTCAAGCTGAATTGAGGACTGAACCCTGTTTTGACAGCATTTAATCACACCAGGCAGTCTTTATGCCCTGCCTCAGGGATTGAGGTCTTTGCTTTCCCCTGTGAGATTCACACTTCCAGCCATGCAGAGCCACGTGAGCGCAAAAAACTCCCTGTGCCTCTCTGAAGAGGTCTACAGACAAGGGGAAATGCTGCAAACAAAACCTGGCTCCAAAAGCCATTTGCATCTCCACCCTCTATTTTGCAGCACCTACTACAGCAGTGAAGAATAGGCACCGAGAGCTGTAGGCTCGGAGCTGGGCTCTGGGGAGAAATTCTTCTCTTGTTTAGCACAGGGTGGCACTGAGGAACAGCCACCGACACAGAGTGGCTGGTGGCCACCTGTGGAATACAGCAGTGCAAACTGGGCAGGGGGCAATGGGAAAGACATGTGAAGAGAGGAGGAAAAAAAAAAACCTGCAACAAAAGTCATAGCATAGGTGAGTCTGTTTTGTGCCATTTTCCAATCGGAAAACACAAGTGGATAAAGTTTTTAGAGATGGTAGAACAGAGGACTACAAAGCTAAAAATTCAGCGTGAACTGGTCTCAGAGCCAGGACCAGAACTCGAGGAATTTTGGCAACACTGTCGTGGGACATTTTTAGAGCTCTAGGAGAGCCTGATGAGGAAGAGGCAGTTTTCATTAACTGAAAACTCTGAACACTTCAGAGCTGCCAGCATTCTGAGTCCTCACTCACTCACACGCCTAGATACGTGCACCCCAAAACGCTGGTATTTCCAGTGTTCCGGCGAAGCTTCCACCACCCCAAGGACTCTTCCCCAAAGACAGCAGCGAGCCGAGAGCAGCCTCGCCGAGCCGTGCCTACCTGCCGCTCGCAGTAGGCCTTCATCAGCTTGCTCAGCGGGGTGTGCCGCTTGATTTTGAACTGCACCACGGAGCCGTCCTGCCCCGCCACTTTCAGGTTGATGTGATCATTCTCCGTTTTCACGCCTTCCTAGATGAAAGAAAGAGAAGGACGATGTGGGTTCAGAGCCCGGCCAGGCAAGCTGTGCTCTGGGGGAGGCCCACCGCGTCCCCAAGCAGGGTCATGCTCGGGCCGGACGCCACTCGCTGCGGCTTACAGAGGCTGGGCGGTCTCCCCCGGGGCAGCGGAGGCCTGGGGCCCCACAGGGCCTCTTCTTCCTCCTCCTCCTCCTCCTTCCGCCGCGCCGCGGCCCGGCCCAGCCCACCCCGCCATCTTGGCGGCCGCACGCCGCCAGGTGGGGCGGGGCCCTACCGGCAGCCCTACCCCACAAGCCCGGCGGAGAGGCCTCTCCCCCCCGCACAACCCCGTCCCTCCCCAAGCCTCGCTACGCCGCGGTTGCCCCGGCCCCGCCGCTCCTCACCTTGGGCTTCTCCTCCGACATGGCGGCGGGGATGGGACGGGACGGGGGGACGGGGCAGGGAGCC